GAGAGAAGTTCTTAGACGTGTTTCGCGAAGAGATTCCATACAAAATCAACTTTGTGGTGACGATGTGGCACATGGATCAGTTGGGCAACCTCTTCATCTCAGTCGATGTCTTGTGTCCGCATAGATTCCAGTCACTAGTGATTGGACCCAAAGGCCAAACCATCGCATCAATTGTCCAGTCATGCAAAGAGAGTCTTCAGAACACATTCTATTGTGATGTTTCACTCAAACTCATTGTAAAGCCCGTGAAAGAGAAATAACTAGATTTATATAACTATTTATCTATCAATTTCTTACAACTTTCTTATTGCTGTCGAGAAATAAAGTTTGAAATTTTGTTAGTTTTAATACATTATAATTTTTTATTAATAATCATTTGTTTAATGTTCTGTTATTTTTATTAACATTTTATTTAACTAACTATTAATCAAAAATATTGAGCTCTGAGCTCACTTCATTAACATTTCATTAAGAGCTAAATTACTTAATTATTTACACAAACGTTATGTTAATTACTAATACTGGTTTACTTGTGGACAAAGTGTTAGTGAATAGATGGCAGTGAATGAGTGAACACTACTGTCGAGTGTATTGTGATGTAAAGTGTATTGAAATTAATAAATGTGTTTGCAATACAATTAATGTAATACTGGTTTACTTGTGGACAAAGTGTTAGTGAATAGATGGCAGTGAATGAGTGAACACTACTGTCGAGTGTATTGTGATGTAAAGTGTATTGAAATGAATGAAAACGTATGACAAGTGCTAACCATTGGATTGTATGTTAAATACAGTATTATTTTCTAACCATATATTCAAATGAAATACTGTTTCGTTTTCATCACTCAATTCATTGTTAAAGACATTTAATTTATTTATTCATTCAATTGTTTCATTCATTTCATTACTAAACGACATTTAGTTTGAATTCACACCACAATTGACTTATCATAACATTTGGTGATTGGATTTGAGACTTAATTTAGTGAAGAATCGATTGATTTGTTGTGCAAATTGTTGTCATAATTGAGGACTCAATCAATCAATTGATATATCGATGGCTTTCAATAAATTAGAGAAAGAGAAACAGAAATTGGTTTCAGAGAAATGTCAGTCCATTTTGGTTACACTTCTTCGCGATGAGGACAACAAGTATTGTGTCGATTGTGACGCCAAAGGTTACCACCATTTCTCATATGATTACTTCAATTAATGCATTTAACCTTAATTTTACACATTTATTGTCGACGCAAACATTTGTGTCAATAATATTGTCATTTATTTCCCAATCAGTGCTTAGATTTGAGTCAATAATACAAACCATTTGTTTAAATGTTTTGAAAACATATTTAAATACATTGAAGACGTGTATAGCGTTTGCCTTCATTTAGGCGATCATGTCTTCAGCTCTTTCACCACTCTTTAGATCACATGATATCTCAATATTTCACAATTTATTATTTATCTCGTTTTTAAGCAAATCATGCCTCAAGTGATTGAATATCTAATTTATGTTAATTGTTAGACATATTGTCTGAGATTACTCATGAATTTGAAGTGAATGTTTAAATTGAATTGATTTATATAAATGTAATAATGAACTGTATTTGTGTGTATGTAAAGGACCAAGGTGGGCCTCTTGGAATTTAGGCATCTTCTTATGCATCCGATGCGCGGGTATGGCATAGCATTTGATTATAATTGATGTATTAGTTATACCGTTAACGCTGTTGTGTTGTGAACACAGGTATCCACCGCAACCTCGGTGTCCACATATCACGTCATTTCAGACAGTTAGACCTGCGGACCTGAGGGCTTGTCTAGCGAACGTAAGTTTTGTACCCTTTGAGTTTCCGGTCTCGGCATATGCTCCGGTTGGAAGGGCTGTTGAAAGCCGCGGGCGTCTGGCACTCATCTCTCGAAGCCTTCGTTAGAGCTAAATATGAACAGAAGAAATACATCGCTAAAGAATGGGTGGAACCGCCGCCCCCTAAACCAGCCGTAAAATATATTATGCTTATAATTATTGTCACATTATTTGATAAAACAATTATTTTTTTCTTGAAGTTTGATATCGAAGAGGAATTACGCAAAGAAAAAGAGAAAAAACGCAACAAAAATAAGAGTTTTCAAAGCAGTGGAACTGTTGGTGACATTCAGGTCTGAACTATTTTGTTATAAAATACATATATTTGAAGGTTAATCCACAACTCAATCATTGNGGAATTACGCAAAGAAAAAGAGAAAAAACGCAACAAAAATAAGAGTTTTCAAAGCAGTGGAACTGTTGGTGACATTCAGGTCTGAACTATTTTGTTATAAAATACATATATTTGAAGGTTAATCCACAACTCAATCATTGCTTTTAATATTTAATTACTTGTTATTTAATATTTTGTTGATTTCATAAGTTTTTATAAAATGCGAGTTTAGTTGACAAGAATGTCACAGAATATCATATATTTTTGATGAATAATGAGTTTTTGTATGGGTTTAGGCCAACCCTCTGCCCCGACCCTCAAACTCAAACTCAACTCTTGTTACGACTGCTATAAACGCCGAGAAAATCGTACAAAAGACTGAAAACGGGAAAACTAGTGACGATCTCTTAGGACTTGATATGAATAGCACAGCAAACGCGAGACCAGATGACGACTCTTTTGGTCTATTCGTTAGTTCTCTTCCCTCTAAAGAAACTAATTGTGAGATTAAAGCGGAATCTAAGGCTACATCAAACGAAGAATCGGATTTCTTCAACCAAAAAGCGCCCACCGATGACAAGAAGGTTATGTCTAAAGAATCCATTTTATCACTTTATGGAAGCGCTCCCCCGCCTTCTTTGCCGCCAACTCAACAGCCAATTGGTTCGCAGAGCACACCATTCAATGGTTTAAACTCATCGCTATTTATGGGACAATTTGTGCCTAACTCTCAACCCATGGCATCGCAAACACCGAACCCAATGTTTGTGTCACAAAACACTGGCATCGATCCATTGCAGGCACCGATGGGTCAGACATCGAATTTAATGAGTCAAGTGAGTCATCTCTCGCTATTGTCTTTGTTCTATAAACTTGTTTCTTCACTACAGTCTAACTTTCCCTTAACGACAAACCCTTTTCTCGCTAACACTTCAAAGGGCTCTAACTTTGGTCAGCAAACTGTCCAACAGGTGTGTTATCTTCCTATCCGATGCCATGTGTTTGAAATAAGGATTTAATAGTAATTGAATATTTGTATTATAGTTACCACAACATATGGCAACTCTTCAATTGAATCCAATGCCTGCGTCCAATCCTAACACAAATCCGATCCCAAACAACAATTGGTTTCAAATGGGGCCGCAGAGCACTGGTCTGCCAGTGCCTCAACCCGGAGGCATCAATCCATTCATGACAGGCGCTCCGATTCCTGCCGGCGTTCCCTTTGGTAATAACTTTGGAAGCGCTGGTTTAAACTCAGGCTCAATGTTTCCTCAAACAGATAACAGCGGCTCTCAATGGGCTTTCAATGGCAACCAAACTCTTAACCAATCTTCAGGAGTGACCGCTTCTACCAATTTGTGGCAATAACTCGACACTTGTTTGCAATTCATTGTTAATGGATATTATCTTTTAGTTTATTATAAAGCGCCCGAAATATTGAATTAATATAATATTTATTTTAAATTAATGTTTAAATTTTGAGGACTAATTTTGAATGAAATAGTCATAAAAAGCCATAACTCAATGTATTGTACGCGAAATGTACTGCAAATCGCTTTTATACAATGAAAAGTGTTTTTGTTTTGTTGATAATTGTTCACCAATTGTGTCGACACTTGCAAAACATATTTAATTTATATTTTCGGTTATATTCTAAATATCTCTTCTCTTATCAGACATTCCGTGAAAATGTAACAAATATTAACATTTTATTGGAGACCAATTGAATCATTGATTATTTTGTTTCAATTATAAATGATAGTTAAAATGTATTTAATAAATGATAAAATGCTTATTTATTCTAAATAATTACAAATTTAATGGAAATACTTTAGTAAAAAACAGTTTGTTTTCTGTTTTGTTTAATAAAATAATTATTTATTTTTAAATTAAATGAATTAAAATTATTTACGCTTTTTGGCGCTCGAAGGCGTCGAATGGGCCGAAGATCTCAATTCTGTGGTCTGTTTTGAGATGTGTTTCTTCGAGCGAACAATTGTTTTGTCTTCGCTTTCGTCGCTTTTCTCTGACTGTTTGGTCGACTCTTCCTTTCGGTCAGACTTTGAATTCTTCTCGTTTTCGGACTTGACTTTTGAATTGCTTTTATTCAAGTCATGAGTTTTGCCTTTTGTGGCCGTTTTGGGTGTACTCACACTCACACTCGTCTCCACCTCTTCCTTGGGTTCGCTCTCTTTCTCAGACGTCTTGCAATTGTTTGCACTCTTTTTGGCAAATAATTCACTGAATTCTGGATTGTCTTCAATATTGAAAGGAGTGCTGACGTTAGGGAATGGCATGTCTTCGTTGTCGTGCTATTCAGACAATCGTATAATACATTCAATTAGACATAACAATAGGCGCACAGAGGAAGGCATACCAGAGTCTCCATGTCGTACATCGTCTCCAAGCGGTTCCATATGATCTTCGAAGTGATCTCTTTGTCCGTCAGTTTCACGAATTCATCCAAAATGCAAATCATGTGAAAGTTCTTCGCCACACCTTTTAAAGCATACAATCAGTGGTTAATTATATCGTTATTTAACGCCAAATAGTCTTTCATTTTGTATTCAATACAAAATTAATAATCAATTGTTAGACAAGAGTTGGAAACGAGGGGTAAATGACATGAATAATGTATTGCATTGAGAGGTCGTCTGCTTTCATGGATTGCATTCAATTCATGTCAAACTGTGGCCAACATTACCGACGGGTTTGTGTCCTCTCATGGCGTAAAACAATTTGATCTCATTTTCTGGCGTCCACTCGACTTGACTGCCATTTGTGTCCGATTTAGACATTGTTTTGATTGACAATCACTTCAATCACTAATTGTATTGACAAACGAAACACAAAACACTTTTTGTCACTAATTTTTGTCCCTATTTTCAAATTCTCTGCTTTTGTTTGCATTTGTTTTGTCCATAAATAACGTGTGCTTTGAATCGAACCCTCGTTTGAATGCAAAGCGTTTTGTTTGACTCAAAGCTGAGTTCAAATTGAATGACGTTTTTAATGCGTTTCGTAGAAAACATGCGATTTTTATTCAGTGATGAAAATCTGCACACAATTTGAAGTTTGCTTTCAATCGCCGTTTGATTGCAATTATTAACGATAATTGTCTTCATTTACCACTCATTCAGTCTCTTAGTTATAGTCGTAATACTTGTCCATCATTTGAGTCCTGTCTTGCCATTGAATCCAAAGCCGAAGACATTACTGTCGAAGACATCGCAATCGGTGTTTGATTTGCAAAAGTATTGTCCGAAAGGTTTGTCTACTATTTAGTGGACATTCATTGCAATCAATGGACGATTGGGCCGACGATTGGCAGCCGTCGACGACGACGACCACCGCTCGCACTGACTCTGCGACCAATGATTGGGACACCGGATGGCCCGACAGCTCAGCCAATAGTGCCGTCAAAGAGACTTCAGATGAAAGTGATTTGAGACCAAAAGGTATTCATTCGGCAAACCATTCAAAACGTAAATTTGACGTCTCTTTTGATGACCGAAACGATTGGTCAGCGTTTGGTCGCGGAGTCGGAAGAGCTCAGAGAGCGGCCACTTGGAGGCAACAGAATGGCGGCACACAATGGGCCGATCAGTCGAGCCATAGCCGCGAAGAGCAATCAGTTGCAAACAACAGGTCTTATAGCGATTCCGGCCATAATTCGTCCAAAAGGACGGTTCAGATCGAGTCGTCGTTTGTGGGGAAAGTGATCGGAAAGGGAGGACAGACTATAAGAGACTTGCAAACCAAGAGCGGCGCTCGGATTCATATCAATCGCGAATCCAGTGGTTATGACACAGACATTGAATTGAGCGGAAGTACTGAGCAAATGGATTGCGCAGAAAAGTTGATCAAAGACTTGACTCAAAGCTCTGATTATTCTTCTTCTCGAAGAAGTTTTAATAACTATTCCAATGATGAGCCCAAGAAGGAGAGCGCCGACTCCGAAATGATTGATTGGGGCGCCGCTATAGCCGAGAGCGAAGCGGCCACTAAACAGAAATGGGAAGCACTTCCGCCGATCAGCAAACAGTTCTACTTCGAGAACTCCGACGTCAGAGCAATGAGTGCCGAATTTGTGGACAAATTTAGGGCCGAAAGTAATAACATAATTGTCAGTCATTTCAATGAAGGCGACACTCGAGTCATACCAAATCCTGTCCAGCATTTTAATCAAGCCTTTGAACACTTCCGTAAGTTTTTAGTGTATAATTAACTCGATTTTAATTGCATTTGAATTTTAGCCGAAATTTTGGGTGAAATCAAACGGCAAGGCTTTGAGAAGCCGTCGCCGATTCAGTGCCAGTCGTGGCCAATATTGTTGAGTGGATTTGATTTGATTGGTATCGCACAGACGGGTACTGGCAAAACATTGGCCTATATTTTGCCGGCAATGATACACATCGATAGTCAGCCGATGTATAGATTTATTGATACTTTTATTGAACACAATATAATGAATTGACTTCTAGGAAGCGAGAGGAGCGTCCGGGCCCTACAGCCCTTATTATGGCTCCGACCAGAGAATTGGCGCAACAAATCGAAAAGGAGTGTCAAAAATATCGGTACAGAGATATTAAATGTGTTTGTATTTACTTAGGAAGCGAGAGGAGCGTCCGGGCCCTACAGCCCTTATTATGGCTCCGACCAGAGAATTGGCGCAACAAATCGAAAAGGAGTGTCAAAAATATCGGTACAGAGATATTAAATGTGTTTGTATTTACGGCGGCGGAGACCGAGCGACTCAAATCAATAGTGTGGGCAAAGGGGTTGAGATTGTGATCGCAACTCCCGGACGCCTCAACGATCTCTGTATGAATAAACACATAGACCTCTCATCCGTCAGTTATTTGGTATACAATTGAGTTGTTTTGGTAGACATATGAATGAAAACGATTTATAATTGTGTTAATTCTAGGTTTTAGACGAAGCCGACCGTATGCTTGATATGGGTTTTGAGCCGCAAATCAAGAAAATACTGCTTGACGTGAGGCCTAACCGCCACACTGTAATGATGTCCGCCACTTGGCCTCAAACTGTTCGTCGACTGGCCGTCACTTATATGGAAAACCCGATGCAGGTCTACGTCGGGACATTGAATTTGGCGGCCGTTCACAGCGTCTCTCAACAGATCATTATCACAACGGCTGAAGAGAAACGCGATATTATGTATGACTTCATCGATAAGATGAGAAAACATAATAGCGATGAGCGAAACGAACAAAAGCAAAAAGTGATCATATTTTGCGGCAAAAAAGCACTGTTAGTCTAACATAAGACACGATTTGAGTTATTTTTTACGTAAATATTTTGCTTAACACAATCAGAACTGACGATTTGGCCTCTGATTGTGTGCTCAAAGGGATTGATTGCCAGTCAATACACGGCGATAGAGATCAACACGACAGAGAACAGGCGTTGGAAGACATCAAGAGTGGAGCCGTCGATATATTGTTCGCCACAGACGTGGCCTCTCGAGGACTCGACATCGAAGACATTACGTATGTCTCTACCATTTCATTGAATTGTAATTCATTTGTCATTATTTTTCAGTCATATCTTTAACTTTGATTTTCCGCGTAATGTCGAGGAATACGTTCATAGAGTGGGCAGAACTGGAAGAGCCGGGTATAGTTGTAGAGCCAATTGAGGTGTGTGTCAACAATGTATTGATTCTCTTTGATGTGAATGACAGGAGAACGGGTGCGTCCATAACTTTGGTCACTCGGCAGGACTGGAAACACACGCCCGAACTGATTGCCATTCTGGAAGAGGCCACTCAGGAGGTGCCCAATGACTTGGCAGAGATGGCCCGACGATACTCCGCTTGGAAGGAAAAACATGACGCCGAAGAGGCCGCGTGTGGCGGTTGAAAAAGAGAAAAAACGCAACAAAAATAAGAGTTTTCAAAGCAGTGGAACTGTTGGTGACATTCAGGTCTGAACTATTTTGTTATAAAATACATATATTTGAAGGTTAATCCACAACTCAATCATTGGTTGCAATATTTAATTACTTGTTATTTAATATTTTGTTTATTTCATAAGTTTTCATAAAATGCGAGTTTAGTTGACAAGAATGTCACAGAATATCATATATTTTTGATGAATAATGAGTTTTGTATCGGTTTAGGCCAACCCTCTGCCCCGACCCTCAAACTCAAACTCAACTCTTGTTACGACTGCTATAAACGCCGAGAAAATCGTACAAAAGACTGAAAACGGGAAAACTAGTGACGATCTCTTAGGTCTTGATATGAATAGCACAGCAAACGCGAGACCAGATGACGACTCTTTTGGTCTATTCGTTAGTTCTCTTCCCTCTAAAGAAACTAATTGTGAGATTAAAGCAGAATCTAAGGCTACATCAAACGAAGAATCGGATTTCTTTAACCAAAAAGCGCCCACCGATGACAAGAAGGTTATGTCTAAAGAATCCATTTTATCACTTTATGGAAGCGCTCCCCCGCCTTCTTTGCCGCCAACTCAACAGCCAATTGGTTCGCAGAGCACACAATTCAATGGTTTAAATTCATCGCTATTTATGGGACAATTTGGGCCTAACTCTCAACCCATGGCATCGCAGACACCGAACCCAATGTTTGTGTCACAAAACACTGGCATCGATCCATTGCAGGCACCGATGGGTCAGACATCGAATCTAATGAGTCAAGTGAGTTATCTCTCACTATTGTCTTTGTTCTGTAAACTTGTTTCTTCACTACAGTCTAACTTTCCCTTAACGACAAACCCTTTTCTCGCTAACACTTCAAAGGGCTCTAACTTTGGTCAGCAAACTGTCCAACAGGTGTGTTATCTTCCTATCCGATGCTGCGGCTCTTTCAATGACGCCGAGTCTTATTGCAAAGCGAGGGGCGGTTTAGTTGTAAACTCAGTGGTGGAGGTCAGCCATAATTTCCTCTTTTATGAATTGGAGAGAATTAAGCCTAAACTCAAGTCCAAACTGGTTTGGCTCGGAGCCCGTCGGGAGCCGCAGCCGCACAACGGACCCAGTTTTCATCGCTCCAGAACTCAGGTCTGGAATTGGGTTAACGGACAGCCCGTCAACACTTTCCTCTGGGCTGAAGATCAGCCAAACAACTATAACGGACAGCAAAACTGTATAGTATTGGACGGCGGGCGCAAATGGCTGTGGAATGACGTGACCTGTGATTTAGACTATCTTTCGTGGATCTGTCAGTACAGGCCGTCCAACTGCGGCAGTCCTGACAAGAATGAAAACACCACTATTATTGATAAGGACTATCGCGTGGGACAGACCGTCTCATACCAGTGTCCAGTTGGCAGCCGATTAGACGGCTCCGCACAACGTCTTTGTCAGAGCAATGGTTTTTGGCAGCACTCGGCGCCCACCTGTCAGTACGTCAATTGCGGTTCATTACCACATATACCTCACGGGAGGGTTGAGTTTGTCAACAATTCTCGCACTACTTTCANCACAACGTCTTTGTCAGAGCAATGGTTTTTGGCAGCACTCGGCGCCCACCTGTCAGTACGTCAATTGCGGTTCATTACCACATATACCTCACGGGAGGGTTGAGTTTGTCAACAATTCTCGCACTACTTTCAATGCCAGCGCTCGCTATTCTTGCGATGAAAACTATACTCTTGTGGGCAATAATACTCGCGTATGCGAAGGCAACAGCACTTGGAGTGGTATTGAACCCAAATGCCTATACAGTTGGTGTCCGGTCTTGACATTTATACATAACGGCGCTATCAATATAACGAACCGCACGGAAAATGGTTTGGCGACCTATACGTGCCATAAGGGCCATATACTTGTGGGCAACTCTACCCGCAAATGTCAATTGGGGGGCAAATGGACAGACGAGGAGCCGGTTTGCAAATGTAAGCATTGCATCGAAAGTAGCCTTAACTGTACTGATAGTGCAATATTTAACGGTTGGCTGTATTTCCTAACATCTAGTCATTGACTGTGGAGTGCCATTAGAAGTGCGAAACTCTAAATTCCGGTTATTAAACGGCACCACATATTACAACAGTGTCGTGAAGTACGAGTGCGACAACAACTACACTATTGATGGCCATGAGTTACGCAACTGTACAGAGTTGGCCAACTGGAGTGGCGTTGAGCCCAACTGCAAATGTATGTTTCCAGTGTTTTATCAAATATCATCATTTTTATAATCTATATATAATTTGAATGATTAAATTTTTGTTGCATATGTTTTGCCGCTCCAGTGATTGACTGCGGAAAGCCAGTCGTTCCCCCAGGGGTTAGACTCTTGAGTGACTCATTCACTGTTCACTCGGAGATTAAATACGAGTGCGAATCGGGTCACAAACTGGTTGATGGCGTCCAACGGCATAGGTGTCAGTCCGATGGAAAGTGGAGCGCAACTATTCCGGTTTGCACAGGTATGTGCTCTATGCTCACCATCTCATAATTATACCCATAATTATATAATTATATTAATGATCTCAACAATTATGTGCAGTTATATAAACAGTTGTTTGAAGTTTTGCCAATTTTTCTCAATGAACATACTATATATTTTTGCGCTATTAATTGAAAATGCAATGGGAATAATGTTGTATTGTCTTTGATTTTGGGATTAGCTGTCGAGTGCGGACGAGTGCAGACCATATTGAAAGGCGAAGTGATTTACGTAAACTCAACCACTTATCTAAACAGCCAATTAGTCTATGCGTGTAGTAGTGGTTATAAACTCGTTGGCACTAAAACCCGAGTTTGTGGTGAAGATTCCCGATGGTCGGCATCTACTCCCAAATGTGAAGGTATATTCACTATTTTACATCATTTATTATTGTTATTATACAATTTTTTTAATTACCAGAAATACGATGCGTTTCTCCAGAGGTTCCAAAGAACTCATCTGTGGTTTACAGCGGAAATGATAGGTCAACGAGTGATTCATTTAAAGTGGGATCTACTGTACAATACCGGTGTTCTTTGGGCCATATAGTTCAGGGACAGTCTTTGCGAACGTGTGAATCTAATGGACTCTGGTCTGGAGGGCCACCCATTTGTGTCTGTAAGTTAACAACTAATTCATAGCATTGAAAATTATATTAAAACACATTTGGATAAAAATATTTAAAATGCAATTTTATTAAAAGACATTGACTGCGGCCTCCCATTCCCGGTATCACACGGGAAATGGTTACTCAACAGTAATACCACTTATTATGGAAGTACTGTTGAATATGTTTGCGATCAGAACTTTAAACTGAATGGTCCGGGAAGGAGGATATGTTTAGAGAACGGCACGTGGAGTAGTGTTCCTCCCATTTGCGATGGTATTAATCCAATAATTATATTATACTTTGTATTTTAAATTAATACAATATTTTCATTACTAGTCGTAACGTGTAATAAACCCGAAACCAAAGACGACAAGACTATAGTAGAGGCCAACAGCTTTTCGGTCGGCGCTAAAGCGTATTATTCATGTATTTATGGCTTAGAATTGGTGGGCGAAGAGATGCGGACGTGTCAGCCGACTGGCCATTGGACAGGAGATATGCCCTATTGTAGACGTGAGCTCTTTTATTTGAATATTATTTTAAGATAATATCGACAAATTGTAATAATAATCTTAATATAATTACAAATTAATTTGTTATTTGTAAAAAAAGTTGTGGATTGCGGTCGCCCTCCAGTTATACCCAATGGTAGGGGATATTTAGTGAACGGCACGACACTCTTTGGAAGTATTGTTGAATACCATTGTCTTCCGGAGTTTAAACTAATAGGCGATTCTCAACAACGCAAATGTTTGGCCACTGGGGACTGGTATGCGATTATGACAATACTTTTATACATGTTTTGCATTATATTTTAATTATACCTCAGGAGCGGAACGATTCCCAGATGTCTTGAGTTAGCCATAGCTAATGAAATTGAGAACAATATCGACGGCCAATCAGATGAGCACTCGTTTGATGCAAACTTTGAGTCTTCAAAAGCGATTGGTATTGGGATAGCCGTAGGCGCCGGCGCTTTGCTTATACTTATAATTATTGTTGCCGTCATTTGCCTCAAAGCGTAAGTCATTAAACGTGAGAATTAATTAATGAGTTATTAATAATAATTTATTGAACAAATTGTTTAGCAAAAAACCTCAACCCGTGAAGAATACAGAGAACGTCGAAGTGAACCGACAGCCGGACAAAGACACGGCAACTGTTATGTCATATTCTCGTCTAAGTCTTGAGACAGAGGCGGCGGCTGCGGCCGCGGCCAACAATCTGCCGCATAACGGCGCTATCCGTCACCACCCGAACGGTTTGGTCACTTTCAGTCCCCCTTCCGGTCATCAAAATCAACCGCTTTATGCGAATACAACTGCTTTTCGCAATAATAACGGCAATACAGTTAGTGTTGCCATACGTTCAACACAACCACAAACCAACTCTAGATTTGCGTCAATCAATTCCAACGGAAACGGCACTCACGGCGGACATGGAGGACACGCTCTCCATATGCAGAGCCATAATGTTTAGTGGAAATTGCATACAAAACACTAAATCTATTTGTGATAAACTCCTATTTGCTTAAATACAATGCAATTACTGCCTTATATTATAGAGTCAGTGACTTTTTGAATGGACTGATATTTTTGCGTATTTTGGCTCAAAGTTTTAAATATTTAATTTTATATCGAATTAATATTTTTAATTTAATTTACAAACAATTTTCTATACATTCCATAAGGATTAGAAGCTTATATAATGTATAAGCAAAAGGAGTATATATTTAAATATCTAATCTTTTAGATGACTAGAAATATCAAAGAGTTTAGCAAATCTGAAATGAATTCAGATTTAATTCTACATTTCATAAGAAAATCTCAAAATTCCTAATTCTTGTGAAATCATGAAATCTTAGAGTTATGTAAATGTGAAGAATATGTTGTGATAATAAGTAACTTAAGCGTGAATTGTATTGCAATTCTTAAACAACTAATAAATTCTCAGTTCTTATTTACAAATCCCATATTTTTAAAGAGAATTTTATACATCTATTATATATTTAATCTAATTTTATATTTGATAACATTTAAAAAGTTATTTTTATAAAACAATTATTGTTAATCATATTTTAATATGAGTCGGATTAATACTGTATCACAATTTATATACTTTTTACCACATCTTATAGCAATTGTTTAAGGCTTTGAATATGTGTCCATTCATTAAACAATTTAAAAAATCTTATTTATTATCTTGAGATCCAAATCATATTAAATCGCGAGTGAATCCAAATCCGAGTGACTCTTGTTTTACGACTAAAATGTATAAATAATTTGTAGATATATTATGACAATTAGATCTAACAATACAAATGTCATGTGTTTTTCATACATAGTATAATTCAATAGACATATCACAATCCCATCAAACAAAACATTATTCATTCAAATCACGAAAACATTGTGTAATTATATCACAAGACAACCAGAATTGTGGGTTGAATTGTGTGCTGAGAATCGTTTATATTATTGTAAGCTTTGATTTATTTATAATTGTATTTATAATTTTTATCGCAAATAAAATAATTTCATCTTATTTTCTATTTATAACTGCTTTTATTATTATTTAGACAATTATTGTTATATTTTTAGCAACAAATGAAAACGAGACCCGTTTTGACCTAAAATTAATGACAAGTTTCGACACTTTATGTTGCATTTGATAACAACAACAATGCATACAATTTGACATTAATTTAGATTAAATTCAATTACATTTTGATTCGTCTTTCATTGTTATTGTGGGAAATATTTTCAATTTTCTTAATTCTCAAGAATTGTTGTTTTAATTTAGATATAAATTTAGAGTTAATTTTCAATTTTATGCTGACGTGAGAGCACAACTGCTAAAGTAAGTAACATAATGGTCATTGAAATTGCACACTCGGTGAGCACAGGTAGATAAATGTGAATTTAATAATGTAAAAGTTGTCACCTTTTTTATGTGTGCCAATCATTCACCTCATTATTTGCGATAATTTAATAGTTAAACGACACCTCAAATAGTAGTAGTAATTGACGTGTTTCTCGATTGTATGCAAATCTGTATGTGATTTGTT